GCTGAGAAGCCCTCCTCAGCTGCCTGTAACCCTCCCTTCAATAACAGACACTCACAACCACATGTCACCTTAGGACACTCATAGACCCTGTTCTACTTCTCTGCTGCCCATACTGTCCCTCAACAATCAGAATACTCCACTTTCCACTGAACCTTTGTAAATACACCAACCCTAATGGACTCCTTGCCCAGCATAGTGAATCACAAATGACCACATCTGCCCCAGACCTTTTCCAGCAGCAAAACTTTGAAACACTACAAACACCACACAAACTCACACCAAATTTCTGTTGAAGCCCTACACCACTGAATAACGTGCATCTCCAGACTCTCAAATGCTCCTGGACGGGGGGGGCCTCTGTGCCTCCGTGGGTTAAGGGTCTGACTCCTGCTCTCAGCTCAGGTCTTGATCAGGGTCAAGAGTTCAAGCCGCATGTTAGACCCTACACTGGGCATGGAGACTACTGAAAAAAAAAAGTCCTCCTAGATGTCCTAGCTATCTCTTGTCCCATCATTCCATGGAAGGTTTGCCCATGTATCTGCCACATCATTCTTTCTCCTTCACCACCTGTGTTGGCAATGCCCAGGAAACCCAACCCGGTGCTGAACAATACCACTCTTAAGCACACTTTACCAAGACCCTCCAACCTACCAATAGCATTGCCACGATACTCTGCATTCCCTTCCTAAATGTGATCCAAATCTCCACCCCGGTCCACAGAGTAGCCATCACTTTTCTAACTCTCCATCCTGAATCCTTCCCCGTTTCCCAAACTTTCCTGTCCAGCTGCCCACCTGTCAAAACAACTTAGGTATCCCCATAGACAATCAACCTACTGGTAACTTCCATCCAGATGATGGGAGCCTCGATCTCTTTGGCTGCTAGGACCTGTGAAAATCAATAATGAGAAACCTCACCAAAATGGAGTCAGACCCAAGAGGAAGAGACTTGACCTTATACTGCCCAAGTACTTCACTACCCCAGACCCAAAAAGACAGGCTTTCCTGATCACACCACCCAACAGCTCAGCCAATGCGAAGCCACTGTTCTTCAAACTCCCAGTTTACTCCAATGGACTTGGGAGTTTATTACAGCCTTCAAAACTTTGCCCTTTTCCCCTTAAAAAAATCCTACCTCTCCTTTATACTCCTGAATGTCCTATTGTTTTGCCTAAGCTTGTTTGTTCTGAATTGTATTTTCTTTCATTCCTAAATAAACCCATTTTTGTGGGTAAAATAACTGCCAGTTTTTGTTTCATTTTTAGGGTTCGCAGACCAAAAGCCCTGGAGTTTTCCCTGATTCCTCCCTTCCTCTTGTCACCTGCAACACCCACAATTTGGTTTAGCTCTCCTCAAAAAAGGACCATAATTCAACCAATTCTCCAACATCCACGGCAGCCATTCTACTCCATCAACAATAACACTGAAGTGCCTAGGTGACTCAGTCCCTCGAGGGCCCCACTCTTGATTTTGACTCAGGTCAGAATCACAGGATCTAGCCCCAGTTGGTCTCCTCTCTCGGAGGGGAGTCGGCTGGGATTCTCTCTCCCTCTCCTCCGACCCCCCACCGCGCGCGTGCTCTCTCAATGTCCAATAAATAAAATATCTTTAAAAAAATAAATAAATACCACCGACTACTGCAATTCCCTCCGCCCGTGCGCCCTGCCTCCTCGCTTACCCCCGCGGCGGGCTCTCCTCTCTCGCGGCCGGACAACGCCCATTTACCCCGGGCTTAGACCACCTCAGCACCGCCAGGAGGGACGGACTCCTCGGGCAGCGCGGGGACGGGCCTCCCCGGCCGCGCT